AAAAGACTTACTTTCCAGTTGTTTTGTACGTTTCGAATAACGTAGTAACATTTTTGATACAATCTTCAGCTCCATATTTGCATGCAGCATTGAAAATCAAATTTCTTTTAAAAGAATGAAGTGGCCACCCTGAATCGTCTTTTTCGAAAGAAAGTGTGCTATATACTGTTCCTATTAATTCCACTACCTTTAATTTCAGAGAAACACCTAAAATAACGCAAAATAAATTAAGTTGCACGATCAATAATATATAAGGTAAACGAAAAAACAGAGACAAAAGGGCATGAGCTTATATCTCCATTTTTGTTGGTTCGATTTGCCTATTACATCAAACAAATATTTTGCTATGACTAGACAGAATTTGCACCTATCAATTTGCACAATGATTTGAGTGAGGCCGAAGTGCTGTGGGAATACCCCAGTTTGCTCACATTACAATTTACAGAGAAGAACTTACCCAAAGTCGTATGATCACCAACTCTTGTCAACAGGAAGTTCAAAGAATGTAAGGCAGATACCCAAGGAAAATAGTCAGTTTCGTTGCCTAAATAATTTAGGTATCGAAACGCTTTAGAGTACTTCATTTGGTAATCGGCTCTAGCAAAATTAAACAAATCGTCAATTATTTGAGCTCTGTTTAGAACGTCGATTTCGGTATGGTCGTGCAATAGTTGATCAGCGATACTTCGCCAAAGACTGTCACAATATTGGACTCTATAAAATGCTGAAAACATTATATTGTTGAATTCAAGAATATACCTCACAAAGAAATTAAAGTTTTTAGTTATATTGATAACTAAATGTTTTTATTTAAAAGGCACAATTAGAATTTTTTAATCCTTCAAATCTAATTTTCAAACATTAATAATATTAATAATAAGAGTTACAATGAGACTAAAAATAATAATAGGAGTAACATTACTACTAGTAGTAATAATACTAATATAATAACAGTTTTATTAATACTAAAAATAATTATTTATCGCCATGAAAGTATTTTGAGAACAAGTGTCTAAAATGTTTTCTAGATATAACGTAAAATTTTTTCATAAACCAAACAATTCAAGAAAAACATTCTCAAATTTTAAACCCAAAATCTATAACTACAAAGACTGTAACGCCACTTTCCAACAAAAATTGAAGTTTGAAAGTTGTGGCCCTTTAACGAATGTGATAGCAAAGTAACTTGTAATGGTAAAATCGTGATGCCCCTAATGAAATTTGTAATTAACTGCCCTTTAACTTTAATGTTTTGATAGGTCGTTGATGGCTTTTCAACTGTTTTCCACATGTAACTGTAAAATCGTAATGGCTCATTTGAAATTTGTAATTATCTGCTTTTTAACTTTAATTATATGATGGGCCATTGATGGATTTTTAACTGTTTCCAACATGCAATTGTAAAATCATTATGGCCCTTTTGAAATTTGTAATTAACTACCCTTTAACTTTTATTTTTTGACGGCCCGTTGATGGTTTTTTAACTGGTTCCTACTTGCAACAGTAAAATCATTATAACGCGTTTAAAATTTGTAATTAACTGCATTTCTACATTAATTATTCGATGCTCCGTTAATGGCTTTTAAACTGTTTCCTACATGAAACTGTAAAATCGTTATACACCTTTTAAGATTTAAAAGTAAATGAGAGCTAATTTTATTAGTAGGTCATTCAAATACACCACATAAAATTAACTTAAATAAATAATATAGTATAGGCGTTGTATGAAGATAATATAGTAGGGTAACCTTATGGAGATATCATTGGAGGACGATGGATATAGAATGTAGATGGCGACACTGTACTTATATCCAAGTCAGGTCTTTAGGCCATGTCTGTGCTTGAGTATGAATTATAATTTAAAATCTTCTTTGTCATTTCTACTTGTCTTCGGTAATGTATTTTTATAATTACAATTTACTATTGCAGTTTATTACAAAAGGGTATTTGAAGGTCACATAAAATGCCAAAATATTCAATATAATAAACCAGTTTTTGTTTGAAAAAGATTGAATGAGTTGAGATTGGATGGAGGACTATAATAGGAAAAAAAAATTCTATATTGTGGTTGGATGTTGGATTTTGGATTGATCGCTGAGGTTAATTAAAACTTGAGTTTTACGCTGTTAATTTTTATTCACTTTTATATTAAATGGTATCAAATTAAAAATAGGACAACTGAAGATTATTGTTCAAAATGAGACGAATAGACGAAAATAAAAAATGCTTGGATAAAATGTTCTGAAATACAGGATGTTAAGTTGAAAATTAAAAAATTAATAATGGGTAAATATGTAGGTATAGTTATAATTTTATTATTTAATATAATTTTACTAAGATCGGCACTGACAAAATTTAACTAACAGATTTTTTTGCCGTTAGGTAAACTTATAACATAATACCAAACACGTTTAGTGAAATTATACTAAGTAATAAAAACATGTAAGCCACTAATTTTCAATTTTCAACTTTTAACACCATTTGAAACGTATCGAGTACCGACTTATGGTAGCGGAATCAGTAGCACATTTAGGAGTATTATTTTCGAAAGACAAAATTTAAAATTTTTCATCTATTTTTTTTTTTAATGGGAATACTTTGCTTCATGCCCTACAGTGATGAAGCGCTCAACGAAGGCGTCTTAAAAAATAAATTATAGAAAATGCGAATGTTACATATTTGATTAGATAATCAACAGACATAAACCTTCATTGCTCAGGACGTTAAGTGCTCAACTTTGGGTTTCGTGAAGTTCAGTTGCCGACTACTACTATTTTTTTCTGAACTGTTATCAAAATACTACAAAATTTAGCAGAAAGATTGCATTAATTATATTTTTCAAATTTTTTCCAAAATAAAAAAGAATTTTTTTATCTGTAATTGAATCCGGGTTGAGAAATCCAAACTTGAACTCTTATTGACTTAAGTCTTGAAGGCACTTATATCAAGTTAATTATCAAATATGTGACGTGGCTTTTTAAAATAAATCATTGTGCGCTCCACTGCTAGTGTGTCCATCTTCTACAAGAGAAAAAAGAAGGAAACATTTGTAAAGTTGCCTTGCACAAATGTGTACCTACCAAAAAAGGGCAACTGTCTCGTAAGCCTTTTTCGTTTAAACGTCTCATTATTTGAACACTAAGCGCCAGCATGGGAAATATATGTTAAAGTGAGTTTTAAGAACTTTTAACATTCAAATAAAAATAATTTATAAATCTATTATTAAAATCCGTGTTGGAGCAAAACATAAAATTGTTGAATTTGAAAGATAATATTCTAAAAATGGAAAGGACTTCGGTCGAGAGCCTATTGGACTGAATATTCGGTTCAATCAATGACAATTATTAATATTACTATTCCTAAATATTTTATTTAATTTGCTTGTAAATTTATGTGTATTTATAAATTACACTGGTTAACAGTGATTTTGTGGACGGGGGTTTAAGAGCGTTTTTGGGCGAACGTTTTACCGATTTCAAATCGCTTCTCCGGCCTATAAATCTTCAATTGTTTCAAAAAGAATAAAATAAAGTAGTTCTGTCTAAAACTAAATTAAATTTGCTATCTCGAAGCCCCCATTGATTATTTCCAAACTTTTCCTTAACGTCTTAGTTGTAAGTTTCATATTACATTTTTTTTAATTTGCTATTTCTGTGAAATCATTAATTTTCACTTACGTCATTGTTCTTCTGAAAAAGCTAAATGTGACTCACGTTTTGCTTGATTGGCTTTAGTTTTTTGACATAGTCAGCCAGTCAAAATAAAAAAAAATACAAATAATAATAATAATACATTAAGAGCAATCCAGTCCCTTCTGACGTCACACCGAACGAATCTCACGACCTCCCTTTAAAGTATTTGGAACCTTGTTCGCTACATAAATTTGGCAATGTTGTGTGTCGTACCCTGAAGGGTCCGATTACAATTCAGGTATAATTCGTTGGCTATCGCCGCCTACTGGGGGTTAGTGGCTTGTTAATATACGAATGTAGGAATACTATTTTTAAACCAAACATCTCAAATATTTTTTATTTATTGATAGTTATAGATGATATACAGGGTGTCCCGAAATTAGACGGTCATATTTTAACAGCGTAATCTACATCCTAAAATAGTAGTAAAAGTTCATATAAACAGGTCCGAAAACTTTTCTTTTCCGAGATACAGGGTGTTAAAGGTGAAGTCCTGATACCACACTTTTGTAAATATTTTCTAAACGTTAAAGATAATTAGGTAAAATTTGTTACAAATACTTATCTTTTTACGCTTCATTTATTGGACTAAACCCCAGTTATTGATCATCTTCTTAGGTGGATAAATTAGGGGAGCTTAGGGTAAAATTGCCGTGTGTGTCTGTGTGTCTATATCCACCATAACTCATGAACCGATACACAGAAAAACACTAAATTTTAAACTTTTTGAAGTTTTATTTCGGCCTGACGTGAAATAATTAGATTTTGGACAAAGTCGGAACATCTGGGGGGATACTTTATGGGAGGCCGTTTTTATATTTTATTGAATATATCTGTTATTTATGTTTGGAGAAGAAAATTATTCAAATAAAAGTTACTTCTAATATAATTATCTATAATTTTTGCTTTATGTCAAAATTTCCTGAAATGGTCCGTATTCGAGAAATTTGACAAAATGTGCAAAATTCTAAACTAAACTAAAAGTTGTTTGCGATATCGATCTCTATAATTTTTGTTCATACATGATTTTTCTAAAATGGACCGTAATGGAAAAATTGTAGGAAAATTGCTAAATTTAAATTTTTCAGTATTTTCGTTTTCAATGAATAACTATAGAAAAATGTTTCGAGGTAGACAGATGTACGTGGAAAATGTATATATTTAGTTTATCCTCTAAACATTTATAGAGGTACTGCAATAATTTGTACAAAATAACCAGAAAAAGCCTATAATAACGGCATCTACACGTTTTTAAATTCGGTTTTTTTTAATTTTTAATTTCTAATACTTGTAGGATGTAGATTACGCTGTTAAAATATGACCGTCTAATTTCGGGACACCCTGTATATTGTAAATTCGAAATAATAGTTATGACGTAGCGGTGTTTTTCTAATTGTAATCGGACCCTAGGTATATGGATACCGAAAGTGATGAATTGGAGATAGGTAAATTGTATTTATTGTATTAAAGGAACAACAAATATAAGTACAATTAAATAAGTATATTAATATAACAATTTTTTAAAGTCTGTATTAAAAAAATTTTTTTTCACATAGATTATTAAATTAAAAAAATAACTATTAAAACACGAAATGTTAATTTTTTCTCTTTTACAACACAAAATATACAATACTGTTGAATCAAAGTTTTCTCTTGGCAGCAGGTGGTTTTTGTGACGCGACAATTATGATGCTTTGCATCTCATGAATTAAAGTTAATTATCTTTCAACCTTAAGGTGTTCATACCCCTTATAATTATCGGACAAGAATATCTCAAAATATTTAAATTTTGGCAAAATAAATTAGGCAATAATATCTATAATATGCATATATTTTAATGTTTTAATTCCTTCCAGTTTCCCAAAAAAACTAAAAGGGCTTTAATTTTGAAATATCATAATGAAAATAAATGCATTCCTCGACAGCACTATTCTTAATATAATCTCCAAATTTAAGCCTCTAATGTCTTGTTAATGATTTCTTAAAATTCGCCAAAATTAGTGGCTAAAACGCTTCGTTAAGTGCTATCTTC